TCAAATGATGCCACATCCGCCACCGCCACCGCCAAATAATATGATACAAAATCGTCATCTAATAGGACCCTCACAGCCGCCGCCGCCACCACCACCACCACCACCACCTTCTGTTAATGGTAATGGTTATGGCAGTGGACCTAGCAATAATAGTAATCATCATCATAACCCTCATCCTCATCCTCATTCTCATCATTATTATAGTCCCACAACAAATAATGTTCCTCCTATAAATGGTCCAAATGTTTATCCCTATTAAACAATAATACATATATTATTGCAGTAGGACAACTTATTTTTATCGGTAGATTTGACAAATATATAAAATTATTATTTATTATTATTATTACTCATAATGTTTTGTTTGATATATACATGCATACAAATACACATTGCATTCATCCATTCATGAACAATTTTATATAAATATATATATATATATATATATATATATATATTAAAAAAACAATAATTACTATTCAATTAATTAATTAATTAATTTTTTTTGATATATAATCTTTTTTATTTTTATATAAATCATTTTTTTCTTTACTTGTTTTTGTAAATTTTTCTTTTTTCTCTTTTTAATTATATTTTAGATTGGGTTTTCAATAATTTTTTTCTTAATATTTTTTTTAAAAAAAATAATAAATAAATGAATAAAAAATAAAAAGCTTATTAATTTTTTCATGGAGGAAAAACTCGGACTAGTCCGAGGTTGTCACACACATATGGATTATAAAAGTAGGTGGTTATGTTTTTGTTTTTTTTTTATGAACTAATCCGGAATGCTTATGGGTTAATTTGTAATAACAGTAAGATTAATGTGAGATCGATTCGGAAGATTTTATACTTTTAATTGTATTAATTAAAACAAATTACATATACACTCACCTACCATAAATATCCGACCACCCAAGTCGTGTAACGTCAAATGAAAAGTGTCCTTACTAAAAAAGTAACTTTTTCTTAAATAAAACCTTTTTTTACTTTACTATGTAGACCTGTACCTGATATCAAAGTCTCTAAATTACAAAAATTTCGAAAGGTTTGGTATGGTATTAATGGAAACATTTAGCAAATAGTCCAAAAAAGCAAATTTTCAATCGGAACCTTTACATGTAATAAAGTTCAAATTTCTTCATTGTAATGTATATTATTTCATTAATAAAATATGCTCAACGTAACAGATTACATATATCTACAATATGGTGTTGGCATAAATTAGTTCGTGAAAAGGGTTTAAAAAAATATCCGACCACCCCGTAATTTTATTATGTAAAACACTTAATAAAGTTGACAAAATGCAAATTTTGAGGCTTTACGTTTTGTTGTCTATACTTGATCAAATTTTCTCAATGTTTTCATAAAGATCACGGAATTTTTTGCCTAGTTTAAAATTTTCATCCTAAATTCATTATTAATGCAAACTCAACGAGACTTTAAGTTTATATGCAAATTAACTTTAAAAATCATGTTTACTTAATGCACCAGTCCCTCTTTGATTAATAAAATTTTGAATTATCATCAGGTGGTGGATATTTATGGTAGAGGAGTGTACATGCCAATTATTATATAGAAAAACACCTCCATTTAAGAACAACATCTTTATAAGAACATTATCAGAAAAGCCACTCGCTATGTTTCTGACAGGATTATTATATAGAGGTACCACTGTATATGATTTATGATTTTTTTTATAAGATTACAACTATAATTAAATTTATACAATGTCTCAATATGATGGTTCTTGTCGAAATATCAATGCAGTTGTCACAATAGAAACAATGGATTTTACGCTACCTCAAGGATCTAATTTTTCCTTCGTATTTATACCTATTACTATGTACGGAATAGGCACTTAATAGATACGGAATGAATTAGAAAACCTCATTTTTGATACAGAATACATACTAACACTAACACTAATACGGAATCATTATGGAATATTTTAGGATATTGTTTCCGTACATGAAAGAATGAATTTTAATTTTAATTTTAATATTAATACGGAGTACATGCGGGAAAATGTCCTCAAAAACGTTCCGTGAGTATTCCGTACCGTTTATATTTTTAGTACAGAAAGGCACATCAGTATCAAAAACGCGTTTTTCCATTACTATTTCCGTATATAGGATAAGGAATATAGTAATAGGGATATAATCGATCCCTTAATATTAATGATCAGACTGGCGGATAGTTTTTGATTACGGATCAAAATTTCAGAAATTATTATTATTATAGAATATCCGAACGATATAAAATTTATTTTATTATTATTATTGTTTATTTTTTGAATTAATTCAACGTTTTTTCACTTCGTCTTTGTAATGCTCAAATACGGTCAAATAAGCATGACTTGCGTACTAAGTGAAAGTTTTCACACAAAATATTGCAATGATGTCATAGTTTTGCACCCGAAATAAATTTGTTGCTCGAACGCGTCGCGATTTTTCGAATTTGTGCACGTTTAAAAATGACTTTTGCAATTCGTCTCTGAAATACTCGAAAACCATCAAGTATACAAGTCTCACATATTAAGTAAAAGTTGTTCCTCATGCCAAAAACTGAGTCGCTTTAAACTCAGTTTGTAGAAACCCGATTGTAAATTGCCAAAGTTTTAAAGTCATTCTTTCTTTGCTTTAAATCTGACTTGGTTTTTAGATTACAAAAACATTTTGAGCTTTGTTTCATCTATAAACAATGCCTTTTGTTCTTTTACTTACATAATGTACACATCCATTAAACTAAATTTATGAAATTATTGCTATTGTAGTGCTTTTAATAATATTTATATCATAATTCAAGGTAAAGAATTTTGTTGAATCCCACCAATTATCCGATGAAATCCGACGGATGTGTTTTCTGTACAATAGTAATGAATGACTTGGCGACGGATTAAATTTTAGAGGCAACAAGCTGACGGACAGATATCCACGGATCGCATCGCTAGTTATAAATCAATTACTTTTTAATCTGTTGGGTTAATCACATGATATTACAATTTTCTGATTATGGAGAAATTTATTTTTTATTTCATTGAAAAATAATATTAAAGGGAACAAATGATTGGTTTTTTCATTGACTTAAATTGGATGGATTAATTTCAAAGATCATATTTCATCAAAAAATCCCATATTGCATAATAATAAAAGAATGAAATTTTTTTAATATACTTATGTAATTAATTGCAAATATTCAAATATAAGGTTTAAACCTTAACAAGAATTTTTTTTTCTTTCAAATGGAATTCCTTATAAAAAATTAAAATTATGATATGCAATTTTGCATTATGTAGGGATCCACAGTGAAGTTTCATCCCTATCACACTTATCTCAGGGCGACTCTTGCCACACTGCCCCGCATACGCTAAAACCCTTACTTCATCTTTTTATACCCAATCAAAATAAAGACGGGGTTTAGTGTACCCAGGCAAACCCAAAAAATTTCGGTCAGATAGCTCCTCAATTAGTTGCAACTAAATACGGCATATGAAAATTGAATTGCAGCTAATTGCAGTTTCCATATTTAGTCGAACCGAACCCAAAAACTTTTTGAACTGTACCAATCATAATTGAGGTCAAAATTATTGAATTTCAATTGAAAATTTGCATTGCACCACCTATCATTCGTGATGCAAGATGCAGGGACTTAATTCGTGGCGCATGACAATTTATTAACCAACAAAACATGAACATTGATGTTACATTAAAACTAAAAGTTTTCATGTAATAAATAAAGAGTTATATACTGAGTTAATTCCTACATACATTACGAATTGCGTCTTGTGTAATGATGGAGACCGAAATTATTTTAGCAAATCCGAACTAGTTTCGCCCACAGAAATTAGGAATTTAGGGTTTTAAACTAGTGACGAAACTTAAATTTGTTTAAACTGTGGGCGAACTTTTAAACTGTCAAATCTACGAACAAAGTTTATATTGTGATAAATAAAACAGATTTATCGAAGTACTGTCCAACCGTATGTCGGGCACGTAATCTATATAGTCTTTTTCGGTTTTATTTTTATTAATATTTTATATTCGTATTTTATTATTTAATACTGTATATTAATTAACTTTAAAAGAAAAGATTATCGTAAAAATAACGTCACTTTTTGACCTAATTCAATTTGTAATAATAATAAACATTTTTATAATTTAATAATAAAACAAATTAAATCTTCATTTTTGTATATAGTCGGAAATTAAACAGTAATAGTAGGGGTTTAATTGTCCGTTTGGTTTTCGTCAATTTCTCTAGAAAATTTTCATGGGCGAAATTAGGCTTAAACTATTGGTAGTCTTGTGTCTTGAACTATAACTTGCATCATTAATTACGTCTTGCGTCACGAATTGCGTCTTGCATCTCTCGCATCACGAATTATGTCTTGCGTCATGCACAACACCAGTTGCAGCTTTTAAACCAATATAACTGTTTCACTTTTTATATTTAATTAATAAAATTAGGCGAATAAAATTTATCTAAATCTATGTAAATCGCAAAATTTTCTTACTAAACCCGAAACCAACCCAAAATTTTCGAGCCGGTTTCGGGTTTGCCTTTAAAACATTCGGGCTGGCGCTTAACCAGTCCGAACCGACCCGTTTGGAGTTTTAGGAATAATTAATTGAGAATTTTAAATTAATTAAAAAATATTTATAGATTTTTTTTTGTTTTGTCATTTGTTATTTTATGTTCCTAGAATTTGATAGTTAATTGGAACGATTACATACATTAATTAATAAATAAATAGTTTGCATAAGGTAAATCTACTTTATTTTAAAGTTTGCAACACGAATATTTGAATCGCGTGACACAATGAGTTTTGACCATTAATTATTGTTATGAAGTAAATCGCTATTATATTTTCTGCAAAAAGTTTTTATTATAAAATAAATCCTACATTTCAATTTATACAGTTTAAATGAATTGGTTGAGACCCTTCTTTCTAATAATAATAATAATAATAAACAAATATTGATTTAATAGCCAATTCTTTAATCGAGATTTCCGCGTGGAAATGGAGCTTCGAAGCCTGCAAAAGGGCCTTTTGTATAAAATATCATTGGACGATATTCTGGCTGTTCATCCATAACTCTAAATAAATAAAAATAATGATACAATTAAATATTTAGTCATTTGCAGTTTAATCCATTATTCTTTAATTTTTAATTAATTACCGAGAGCTTTTGAATTTTTCGATTAAAGCTTTTTTTCCCTGAACATTTGCATAAGAAAGCTCACAACGTTTATCGCTATTAAAACGACCCCATTTTTTACCAACGTGAAGTTGTGCAAATGAAATTACCGCACTTATATATATACATACATGTGTATGTATATATATATATATGTTTAGTACTAAGAAAAAAAATATATTTAAAATAATAGTGATATTAAAAATTACTTACTCTACTGATGTGAAATTAATGAATGCATATCCAACATTACATTTATTTTTAAAATCAATTCGTAAATAAACGAAATCATATTGACCTCTATGTGTTTCGTTAAGCCATTCTAACAACATTTTCTATTTTAACATCGTTAATATCAAAACATAATTAGTGAACTTTAAAAAAAAAAATCAATAAAATATATTATATATATATATATACTTGTGTGTATTTGTTTGGAATATTTCTAATCATAAATGTTGTTCTCAAGTCAAAACCTATATATAATAATTAATAATATTAAAATCACCATAGTGTTACCACCAATAAAATTTCAATCATTACCTTGTCTTATGTTTTCAAAATCTACAGTATTTTTTTCCGGGATTTCTCTATTTCCCGACGAGTACATTGAAGCTGTTGTTAATAACGATGATAATAAAGTTGATGTTCTAGTAGCAATTGTTGGTAATGGTGATGTTGTTGTTGTCGTTGTTGTTGTCGTTGTTGTTGTTGTTAATTTAATTTCTGGCATTTTTGAAGATAATGATGATGGTTCATGAGGTAGTTTACCTTGGCAAATGATGGCTTTATCACCTTCATAGTTGTAGTTGTAGTTATTATTGTTTTGACAGCACATCATCTCAGATGCAATATCCCACGATTGTGAATTGCTATCATAATAGTCGACTTTAAGAATAGCTTCCTATTTTATTTTTATTGGTATTAATAATAATAACTATCATGATGAGTTATTTTTCATTTTGAAAAGACTAAATTAATAAAATTTTGTGGGAATTTTATATATGTGGGTATGTGTATATACGCGTACTTGAATCTGTTTTCCATCCACTGTCTTTGCAGCATATGCAGCACGTACATCATAATATTCAATTTGAAGTACTCTGATACCTTCAACATAAAACCAATATTCCTCACGTAAAGCTCCATATTCAACAAACAAATTCCTAATTTCCGTATCATTTGCACGTCCAATGATATATATTCTCAAAATCCCTTCATTTTCCCAATCCCAATCATTTTGCAACTTGTAAAATTATTATTATTATTATTATTATTATTGGATTTGATAATTTGATATTTATATATTGCAGGTTGATCTGAATATTTTTTACCTCAATATTTTTCAGGCGAGAGCAAAAATTAACATTTAATCGATTATAATTATGCGGTGCAATTACATACTTAAGTTTTTTCTGTGCGTGGATAGCATCACGTAAATCATAGTAGTGAATAAATACGTAGTTGTTATCTACAAATATTTCATGAACATTTCCAAATAACTTCATTTTTTAAAAAATAAACAAATAAATTAGCATAGTTACCATGTTAAAATAAATAAATAAATAATTACCTCGAATATCATACGAAAGGCTTCCCATGTATTATTATTATAAACAGGAAAATTTGTTACATTTAACCATCTTGAAGGCGAAGAACCCCAATTACATTTATTGTTACATGCTAATGGCGAAATTGGTTGTTGAGCATTATTATTACTAGCAGTAATATAATTAAATTCTGGACTGAAGCTGAATAAACATTGACCAAGTTTTGTTGCTTCGATATATTCCTCAACGCCAAGTTTTTCTTGTGGGAATTCTAAACAAAGGCGTGAGATTTGATCGGAAAATTCATCGTTGAGAGCAATATTGGTTGGATTAATTGAATGTTTGGATTGTCCTTCATTAACAATTTCATTATGTTTAGGATAATTTAAAGGTGCGTTGTTGTTGAATTCATTTAAGTTTTCATTGTTTTCTATTAAAAAGAAAAGACAAATCCAAAAAATAATAAGTGTATAAACTTATTATTATTTCTTTGTTGGAGGATTTTATTAATTAACAATTAATTACTTGATGGACGGTTGAAATCAAGAACACCATTGCAAAACATCAAAACATCGAGTGATTGATAAATATTATCGAAATCATCAAGATCTTTTGATTTTGTTAAAAAAATAAATAAATAAAGTTATGGATAAATTTTTCGTAAGTGTCATAAATTGTGTATAGGATTATATTCAAAATAAATGTTACCTATAAGAAGATTCATAAAAATAAATAATATATTTGATGATAAAAAATATTTAGTAAATCATATGTAATATTTAGAGAAGTTCACGTGAATTGAATAAATAAATAAATAAATAACCTTCATTATTAATCATTATTGCGGAGTTGTGGTCTTCAGTCTTCACATTATAAGAAAATTTCGTGGAACAATAGTGATAAATGTGTGAAAACGCGTTTTACATAAGTAAATTAATATATATGACTTCTTTAAAGAAAACAGGCTCACATAAAACGCAAAATCTATATAATATAAGGAACTAAGTCTATAAATACCTTGTTAGACATGCTGCTTGAAGAAGAAGACGAGGAAGGCGAGGAAGTGAAGTCAGAACCAGAACCAGAATTAGAATGAGGTAAAGGTTTCAACGTAGGAGTTTTGCTGGTGTAGACTGCTTCAAGTACATCTTCAACAATAGAATTTTTTGATATATTATCGGTTGGACTGACATAAGCTTGTTTAAAAGATGTTTTATACATTTTTTTTTTATTGTACTTTTCATTCATTAAAAGAATTAATAATATTTGGGAAGAGAGTAAAATTTTATAATTTGATTTTGGAAAAAAAAATCCAATAAAAGTTTTTTTGAAAAAGTCGCGAAATGTCAATTTATATATAAATTATTTGAAGTGAATAAAAAGAAAGCTTAACAAAAAGTAAAAATTATAAAGTCAAAAATGGCGTAGTATGAATTATTTGTTTATATATTGTTAAAATCAAACTCATAAAGTTAGCTGTATTACACACACTTATACGTCATTTATTGATTGATAAAGTTTTTTTTTTCAACTTTAATGTAGATCTACTTCAATAGTAATAATGGTAATATTAAAAAATAAATAAAGTGACAAAATCTGATTGGGACAAAGGGTAGGAAATTTTTACTGAACTCGAAACCCATCGCTCGTCGTATCCCACAGTGTGAGCGGCAAGCATACTGATGATGTTATTCTAAATAAATTTGATCAAAATTTTTTAATAAAAAAAAATTTTGCATATTTTCCCTCAAATATATAGAAATTCCGAATAATTTTTATAAATATCTAGAAAAAAATAATTCGACCACAATGGTAATTCGACTGGAATTATGGATATTCCTGCTTGGATTATTTTTTCTTTAGTTCTAGATTTCTCAAAACTTAACTTTATTTGTCGCTATTCACTCAACTCATTGATCATCTGTCACGATCCTATATACATACAATATTTGATATAATATCTTTTCGAGGGGGTTTTCTTACACTTTCTGTATAAACTAACTCAAGGATTTGCTTACGTAAATAACAAGTTAACTTGCAGGTGCATAAAAGTCACATCTCTGTAGCCTTAATTTCAATTATGGCATCTTGATGGATAACGATAAATTTACTCGATATTTACCACGACAACAAATAGTATGGTGTTGCGACTTATCGCCATAAGCGTAGATAATATGACGCTAGACTATTTTCAATCGTTGGGCCGGTTGACTGATCTTATGATCAACTTAAAAATGGAAAAAATTATGTTAAAATTTCAATAAATGGAACAATCTTTAAACATTCTAATGTAATTAATAGCAAGCTCATTTTACAGCTTTAAGGTAATATTAGTAAAAATCTATATAAAGATTTATCGATTATAACCAAATGACGTTACTAATTATGAAAAGTTCATATACCTATTCCATGTATATTATCAAGTTTGTATACTCAATTATTCTTGTTATATCTTATGAAATTATCAACTTATTAAAAACATTGAAATTGGACGTTCCAAAATAAACATACTAATACAGCAAATTACTTTGGACTCAATTATTTTTGTGCCTTTGTGTCTTTTGGAACGGCTTTAACATACACAAGTAAAAAATATTCTCGATTTTCAAGTTTGTCACTGAATGATTTAGACATTATATAAATGGTCTTTTTATCATCTAAATGTTTCCTTGATTTTGTTTTAGATTGGGCCAGCAGATGTATATAATATAAATTTTCTTTAAAATCATCACGTGTAGCTAGCTTTGCAATCAAAGACTTGAATTTCCCATATATATACATATATTATATTTTGCATCATATTCAATTATACGAACGGAGTGGAAATAGGAAGTTAATCATCGTCACAAATACTATACGTCTAAAATTTTGTTTTTCCCACCCGATATCAATCTTCGTGTAACGATGAACACATTGATGTGTAACACTGTAAAACCATTTTTTTAAAAAATAATCTCACTAAGCAAAAAACTTCTCACTATATTAAACAAAGAATGTAAAGTCATGCTAGGAATTTCAAACGACTATTAAATCAAGAAGTTAGCTTGAGTCTATGACAGCTCGATGGTATTGTTTTCGTTGACAATCATCTCAATATTTTCTTACGACCATCAGAGGGAATAAACCAAAAAACAACGTAAATTGGTGTACTAGAATGTGTGCTTTACAAAGTTTGTTGAGAACTATTTGAAGGCTAGATTAGAAATTTTTGATTTTATTTGTAAGGAGTTGAAATTCTATTTGACGTAAGATATTTATTTAACAATTACAAAAGTCAATTAATATTAATTTGACGATCGGGTCGTACATACTAAAAAATAACCAATCGAGTACCTCTGTATGAAAAGTACTATATATTTGTTCCTCAAGGAACTTCGGCAAAGTTTTCTACGTATAACAGGTTCTCTATTCTTCAAAGTCTTATTGGGGTTCCCAAGTAGATGAGGAAAAAAACTTTGTGATTGTTAGATTTGGTGACATTTAGCCGGAGAAAGGTTCTTATGCTTCTCATGTTAGCATATTATAACATGATTGAGAATTACATCTAGAAGTTTTTTTCATAAGGCTATAAAATTTACATAAGAAAAAACTTGCTAATGAATATATAATATTATATGTTTTATTGAATATAACATTCAATTTATAGTCTTTTTACGTTGAAGTTAATAATGAGCTTACTCTTATTGCAGCTTCTTTTTCATATTGTTGATTAAATCTTGAAATCCAACTCTTAATTTGGGTACTTTAGTTTC